CCCGCGCCAGGTCCTGCTCCCTCAGGTGTTTCTCAGGAAGGCCCTCCCGTGCCTGCACCTGTTGAGGTCACTGGTGACTCCGGTCCTGCTGGAGGTGGTGCTGTCGTTGGGGGTGCTGAGCCTGGGGGTGCGGAGCTTGGGGGTGCTGAGCCTGGGGGTGCGGAGCTTACGCGTGAGGAGACTGAGGGTGCGGGGCCTGGGGGTGCTGAGCTTGGGCGTGAGGAGCCTGGAGGTGCTGCATCTGGGAGTACTGAGCCTGCGCGTGAGGAGCCTGGAGGTGCGGAGCCTGGGGGTGCTGTGCCTGCGTGTGAGGAGTCTGGAGGTGCGGAGACTGGAGGTGCGGAGCCTGGACGTGCGGAGCCTGGAGGTGCGGAGCCTACGTGCGAGGGTTCTGGGGGTGCTGAGTCTGGGGGTGCTGAGCCTGGAGGTGCTGGGTCTGAGGGTGCTGAGCCTGCTGGTGTGCGGTCCCCTTGGAGTGGCCGCCTTCGTCCGCGTGTGCCTCTCACCTCCCAGCAGCTGCACGAGTGGTACAGTCGCCGTCAGGGTCGCACTACTGGAGCCCGGGGCTCTACTGCTGGAGGTCCTTCTTCTGCCGTCTCTGGAGCTAGGAGTGGTGCTGGTGCTTTGCCTACTGGAGGTGCTGGAGTCACTGGTCCCGGAGGTGCTCGTACTGGAGGTACTGGAGCTGCTGGGGCTGGGAGTACTGTGTCTGGGGGTACCGCTGCTGGGGATGCTGCGACTGGAGACCCTGGGACTGGGGGTGCCGGTTCTGGGGGTGCTGCTGCTGGTGGAGCTGGTCCTGGAGGAGCTGGCGCTGGGGGTGCTGGAGTTTCTGGAGGTGCTGGAGCTACTGGTGCTGCTGGTATTGCACAGCCGCGACTGTTCTTCACTCCGCCGTCTCCGTCGTCTCAGCCGCCCCCTGACTCTGTGCTTCGCCAGGTTCTTAGTCTTCCGTCTTCTACTGGTCTTCCGTTACTGCCTGGCTCGCCGCTGCCTGCTCCCTCTCCTTACCCTGAGCAGTCAGGGGGCCTTACTGAGCGTCGTGAGCCTGCGTCGCGTCCTGTCTCGCCTGTTCGTCCTAGTAGTTCCACTCGTCGTGTTCCGCGTCCGCGTCTGCCGCCTGTCCCCACCGCGCACCTTGTCGTCCGTCGTCCTTCCTCTGTTCCACAGTCTGTTCCTCTACCGTCTCAGCCTGTGTCTTCCTTGCCTCACGTTCCGGACCCTGAGTCTGACCGGTTTCGTGCTGAGCACCCTACTGTCACGCGTCTGCTCGCCACTGTTGTCACTGACCCCTCGTTTGAGTCTGCTGCTGCGTCTGCTTTGGTTGCTGAGCTTGTTGACTTTGCGGCTGCCTGTCGTCTAGACTACGCTGCTAGCCTTGTTGCTGAGTCTGAGTCTGTCTGTCCTCCGTCCGTCAGGGGTGAGTGTGCTCTTAGCACGGACGTCCTTGAGGACAGGCACAAGGACCTTGAGTGTCTTGCAGCCGCTGCGCCTCATCTCGTGGCCATGCTGCTTGCCCCTGAGGGAGACCCGGATGCTATAGACATCCCCATACGCTGAGGCGATCGCAGGTGAGTACTCCTCTCAGTGGCAGGCAGCCATGGATGCAGAGATGGCATCCTGGAAGTCCACAGGCACTTACGTCGATGAGGTTCCCCCTCCCGGGGCGAACATCGTCGATGGCATGTGGATTTTCAGGGTGAAGCGGCCGCCAGGTTCTCCGCCTGTCTTCAAGGCTCGTTACGTTGCTCAAGGCTTCAGTCAGCGAGAGGGAGTTGACTTCTTCCAGACCTTCTCCCCCACCCCGAAGATGACCACTCTTCGGGTGCTGCTGCACGTTGCCGCTCAGCGTGACTACGAGCTTCACTCCCTTGACTTCAGCACAGCTTTCTTGCAGGGCAGCGTGCACGAGGAGATCTGGCTGCGCCGCCCACCTGGCTTCACTGGGTCGTTTCCTCCTGGTACCCAGTGGAGCCTCCGCCGGCCAGTCTACGGTCTCCGCCAGGCACCCCGTGAGTGGCACGACACACTGAGGACTACACTTGCGGCTCTTGGGTTTGCGCCTTCGACTGCTGACCCGTCACTGTTTCTACGCACCGACACTTCGCTGCCGCCGTTCTATATCCTCGTGTACGTCGACGACTTGGTCTTTGCTACTGCTGACACTGAGGCCCTCGCCCTGGTGAAGTCCGAGCTGCAGAAGAGACACACGTGCACAGACCTGGGCGAGCTGCGCAGCTACCTTGGCTTGCAGATCACCCGGGACCGAGCACGTCGCACCATCACCCTAAATCAGTCACACATGGTGCAGCAGGTCCTTCAGCGTTTCGGCTTCACCTGGTCCTCGCCACAGTCCACTCCTCTGGCTACAGGTCACTCGCTCTCAGCTCCACCTTCGGACGAGTCCGTAGAGCCGAGTGGTCCTTACCCAGAGCTAGTGGGCTGCCTCATGTACCTGATGACTTGCACTCGTCCTGACCTTGCGTACCCTCTTGGCCTTCTGGCTCGCTACGTGGCTCCTGGTCGGCACCGAAAGGTACACTGGGATGCTGCGAAGAGAATAGTTCGCTACTTGTGCAGTACATCGGGCATGGGGCTCGTGCTTGGAGGACGGCGAGAGGTGGTCCTCACTGGGCACTCAGACGCTTCTTGGGTTGACGACCAGGCTACGCAGCGGTCGTCACAGGGTTACACTTTCAGCCTTGGCTCTGGTTCTGTTTCTTGGCGTTCTACTCGCTCGTCTTCTGTTCTCAGCTCCAGTTGTGAGGCTGAGATCTACGCCACAGCCATGGCTGCTCAGGAGTTACGCTGGCTCACCTACCTGCTGACCGACTTGGGAGAGAGGCCTCATTCTCCTCCAGTTCTGTACGTCGACAACAAGGCTGCCATTGCCTTGTGTGAGGAGCACAGACTGGAGCACAGAACGAAGCACATCGCTCTGCGTTACTTCCTGGCTCGAGAGTTGCAGCAGCGTGGTCAGCTTCGTCTTGCTCACGTGGCCACTCGGGCCAACACTGCTGATATATTCACCAAGGCACTTCCGTCTGGTGATCATCAGCGTTTTTGTACTTTGTTAGGCCTTGTGCCTACGTTTCCACACTTGCTGTAGACTTTGCTTGTACTGTGATCTATATCTGTGTATATACCTGCATGCTTGTTCTTACTAGGTAGTGATCACTGTACTGTATTTGCTGCATATATAGTTTTGCATGTGGACTGGCCTTGTGGCCATTTGCTTGTGCTCAGTGTGTGGTGACGTTGTGATCCACCCTGGGCTTGCTTTGCTTCTCTTGACTGGTCGTGTGACCCCTTGTTCTCCCCCACTTTGCCTATGGGGGTGTGTCAAATTATATATATGTGTTAGTGTTGTCTAGGCTGTAGTGGGGTAGCCCTTATGGGGTACAACCCAAAAGTTAGGGTTATACTTGTACCCTTCTTTCATTCAATCCCATCATTCCATTGTCTAGATTCTGAGATGTCGTGCCGCATGAACCACCGGCAATACCGCGCACGCACACCGGCTTTGACACGTCCAGAGGCTGAATCTGGCTGGTGCAGCCGGCTGGGATGATGGCAGGCACAATGTTGTGGGTGCGTTATGCTCCCAGCATTCCTGGGGTGATGTTTCCCCGACATGAATCCAGCACAATCAGCGCACGCTTGGCTGCTTTCCCCTTCTCCGGATTGAGGAAAGGGAGGATTTCACGGCTCGGCCACGTGGGGACGGCTACCTCATCCATTTGACCTCCTCACCAGCGTAGTCATGGTTCCACCTTCGTCCTCTTCAATGTCCGCTTGAAGGGCAGCGGTTTCTTCCTCTTCATCGTAGCGCCCGTCCTCAGGCCATTCTTCCTCGTCGACTTCTAACCGTCAACGTCAGACTCCTCGCAGCTCGCAACAGTGCCTCTGACGGCGGCCTTTTTTACTCTCGCTCCTCTTTGCCGAGGTGTCTCCTAAGCAGATGGTGACATCATCGCCTAGCGAGTTGATACGGCCACTATTAGCAGCATACATGGCAGGTAGGGCTTCGCGGGCCACTGTAGCCTACTTGTTACGCATGGTCGTGAAAAAGCTTGCATAATTAGGTGAGAGGGAAGTTGGCTTCGAAGAGCAGAATGAGCACACATATGGGGTGAACCCTGGACCCCCTCATTTTAAGAAACACATTTAAGAGGAATGAACCCGCAATAGAAGGAACGTTTTTGCAATAGAGCCCATCCACACTGCCACACCTGATGCAGCCAGCAAAGCAAAACGATGCTCAAGCTGTCAATTGCTGCCAACCGCAGGCGAATAAGCCAAATATTGCATGTGGACGAGGAATCGTGCCCCTGATCGGTCCTTGGTGTCAGAATCCCAGCCACTAACCACTGGGATAAAAGGGCTTGTTTGTGTAGCGGGTGAGTGCGCCCATAACCCCTCAGGCCAACGTGCCTGTAACCCTTCCCTAGGATCAATCGGGGATCACCAGTGGACCTCTGACACCCCCCCGCACTGGGATGCCCGAGGTGCACACACCGGGATACGAACCCGAGACCTTCGCTCTGATACCATGTCAGAATCCCAGCCACTAACCACTGGGATAAAAGGGCTTGTTTGTGTAGCGGGTGAGTGCGCCCATAACCCCCCAAGCCAACGTGCCTGTAACCCTTCCCTAGGATCAATCGGGGATCACCAGTGGACCTCTGACACTTGGTACCACCACACAAGAATGCGCTCTTTAACACGTGTTCCGCCCGCTATCTGGGATAAAAAAAATATATATATTATAAACCGTTTATAACAGTTATAAGACACCCTTTTGGTTCATATTACAAGATACAGAGGCTTTTTCCAAACCAGTATTAGATAAGACACATATGTACTATCTGGGCGATGACGTTAAAGATTGGGTGGAAACATGTGAGAAACTGAGGGTAACCCCCTCATCCTCAGATTTGCTCATATGCACAAAGGCGAATGGTTGTGCGTAATGATCTGTGTGTGAGTAAGGTCTTCTGCTACCATGGGTGGTGGGCTATGAGGACTTGTCCATGAGGTGGATGGGCGCGAGCACATTGAGCTTGTTGGTGTCCATGACGCAGCCGTTCATGACCATCTCGTCCAGCATGAAGTACGCCTTCTCCAGGTGAAACATGATGTCCAGCTCGCACTGTTGCACGGGGAGGGGGGGAGAAAGGGCAAAGGCGTGAGAGGGAGAGAGACAGGTGGAACATGATGTCCAGCTCGCACTGTTGCACGGGGAGGGGGGGAGAAAGGGCAAAGGCGTGAGAGAGGGAGAGAGACAGGTGGAACATGATGTCCAGCTCGCACTGTTGCACGGGGAGGGGGGGAGAAAGGGCAAAGGCGTGAGAGAGGGAGAGAGACAGGTGGAACATGATGTCCAGCTCGCACTGTTGCACGGGGAGGGGGGGAGAAAGGGCAAAGGCGTGAGAGAGGGAGAGAGACAGGAGGAACATGATGTCCAGCTCGCACTGTTGCACGGGGAGGGGGGGAGAAAGGGCAAAGGCGTGAGAGAGGGAGAGAGACAGGTGAAACATGATGTCCAGCTCGCACTGTTGAAGGGGAGGGGGAGAGAAAGGGCAAAGGCGTGAGAGAGGGAGAGAGACAGGTGGAACATGATGTCCAGCTCGCACTGTTGCACGGGGAGGGGGGGAGAAAGGGCAAAGGCGTGAGAGAGGGAGAGAGACAGGTGGAACATGATGTCCAGCTCGCACTGTTGAAGGGGAGGGGGGGAGAAAGGGCAAAGGCGTGAGAGAGGGAGAGAGACAGGTGGAACATGATGTCCAGCTCGCACTGTTGCACGGGGAGGGGGGGAGAAAGGGCAAAGGCGTGAGAGAGGGAGAGAGACAGGAGGAACATGATGTCCAGCTCGCACTGTTGCACGGGGAGGGGGGGAGAAAGGGCAAAGGCGTGAGAGAGGGAGAGAGACAGGTGAAACATGATGTCCAGCTCGCACTGTTGAAGGGGAGGGGGGGAGAAAGGGCAAAGGCGTGAGAGAGGGAGAGAGACAGGTGGAACATGATGTCCAGCTCGCACTGTTGCACGGGGAGGGGGGGAGAAAGGGCAAAGGCGTGAGAGAGGGAGAGAGACAGGTGAAACATGATGTCCAGCTCGCACTGTTGAAGGGGAGGGGGGGAGAAAGGGCAAAGGCGTGAGAGAGGGAGAGAGACAGGTGGAACATGATGTCCAGCTCGCACTGTTGCACGGGGAGGGGGGGAGAAAGGGCAAAGGCGTGAGAGAGGGAGAGAGACAGGTGGAACATGATGTCCAGCTCGCACTGTTGCACGGGGAGGGGGGGAGAAAGGGCAAAGGCGTGAGAGAGGGAGAGAGACAGGTGAAACATGATGTCCAGCTCGCACTGTTGAAGGGGAGGGGGGGAGAAAGGGCAAAGGCGTGAGAGAGGGAGAGAGACAGGTGGAACATGATGTCCAGCTCGCACTGTTGCACGGGGAGGGGGGGAGAAAGGGCAAAGGCGTGAGAGAGGGAGAGAGGCAGGTGGAACATGATGTCCAGCTCGCACTCTGTGATAGGTAGGGGATGAATGGAAGGATGGTTAGAGGTGCAGCATGATGGAGAGGTGCAGCATGATGGGGACATGGGCACGTGGGGACGACAGACATGGGCATGTGGGGACGACAGACATGGGCATGTGGGGACGACAGACATGGGCATGTGGGGAAGACATGGGCATGTGGGGAAGACATGGGCATGTGGGGAAGACATGGGCATGTGGGGAAGACATGGGCATGTGGGGAAGACAGACACGGACTCAACACAGCGACCTTGAACTTGTGACGGTTTTGAGCCACCTCAAACGACTGACTGAAGTCACATCCGATGATGGTGAAGTCACATCCGAAGATGGTGAAGGGATAACGTGAAACACGATACAACTCGCACTGCAAATACGGGTGAGGGGGGAAGAGCGGGCGAGAGGAGGCCACGGGAAGAGCAGAAGCGACAGAGAAAGCAAGGGAGAGGGAGATGCCTTGCAACAAGGAGGGGGTGCAAGGGGGTGAGCGTGCAGTGCAGTGTGACTTACCTATTCGCTGAATAAAATTTCGTGCTTCAGAAAGATATCCTCGCTACCCTCTGGTATCGTTTAGTTGCGAGCGGGTTGTTTTTTCCTAGAGCAATGTTCATGATTAGGGCGTGAAACATCTACTGACTGTCCGGTGCGAACCAGGGACGTTCGGAACTTTGAAGGGTAACAAGCTTCGTTAGTTTTTGCGAGAGACCTCGTTCTTGTTTTTGCGACATCGCCATCGTCCGGAACCCAGTTGGAACACCGGGACGTCCGAATTGCGTTGGCGGTGCGACAGTCCAATGTTCCAGTCCAAAATTTTTGAACTATCCGTAAGCAGTTCCGAGCCCATTAGATCGGAAATTGAAACGAGTCATCGAATAACGTGCGAAAGTGAACAAAGAACCGGCATGCACCAAACCAGGCCCTAGATGGCGACATTCAGTCACAAGGCCATAGGAACCAGCAGCCACACACAGACACTATCGTTGCGGACCTACAAGGTCAGCGTATTCGGCGGTTACCAGCCCTAAGCATTCACCGACGTTGATACCATAGTGATCCAGCCGTTCCGAGCCGAAACTTCAGCTTCGACTGGATTTCACAATTCCATTTTTTTTCCCGATGGTGGCACTCCATCTCACTCATTCGGCGAACTCCCCTGGACCTCTCATCAGTGCTGCTGCTGGCAGCACACTCGCGATTTCTCACGCGACGTGTCGCGCCATTGGTCGGTGTTCACGCCGCCTTCACGTACCTTCCCATTTCCCGGGGACATCTGTTTCATTGCAAATTCGCGAAGGTTCCAGGAAGTTTGATCGCATGGCGGGCCGCCTTGCTTCATTTAGACCCTTGGGGTTGGTGTGCACGAGAATCGCGTCGCGGGCTTCATCCCCGTTATTGAATTGCTCGTTTGCCACCCTGAAGCCATCGGCGCGTGCGTCGTCGCAGTCGTGGGACGAGCTGTGCCAACCCGTGAGTGAAGCGCGCCGAGCAGCCACCACCCACCTTGTCGTCTTCCGGGAATGGGATGCCCCCGCCCTCCAAATTCCACATCCCTTTGTTCTTCTTCTCTTTTCCACTCCTCTCCAACTCTTCCTCCTCTCCTCTCTTACCGCGCTTCTTCCCTTTTGCCTGTCAGAATAGATTCTTCTCCCTCCCCCCCCCCCCTCCCCCTCTTTCTCTTCCCCCTTTGCCCTGTCCCAACCCCCGCCGGCAGACAGGCGAGTGGCAGAGCACGCTGAAAGCTCCTGTAACGGTGTCGGGCGTGGGGTTGCACCTGGGCCTTCCCACCACCGTCACTTTGCTGCCCGCCCCTGCTGCCTCGGGTCGGGTCTTCCACGTGGTGCTTGGGGGGGATGGCGGAGGGGGAGAGGGGGATGGCAGAGGCGGGGGAGAGGGAGACAGGGTTGCAGCAGGAGCAGGGAGGGAAGAGGGAGTGGTGAAGATTGGTGCAGATGTGTGGAGTGTGGTGGACACACGGCTCTGCACTGTGCTGGCTGCTGCTGCCGCTGCCCCGTCCAGTCCCCCCTCCTCCCTGAGGAGTCGCCAGCGGGTGGGGGAAGTGAGCAGAGTGAAGTGCGGTTGGGAACGGTGGAGCATCTGCTGTCGGCTCTGGAGGGGTGTGGAGTGGACAACTGCGTGATTCGTGTTGAGGGTGCTGGCGAGGTGAGGTGAGACGAGGTGAGGTGAGGTGAGGTGAGGTGAGGTGAAGGGAGATGAGGCGAGGTGAGGTGAGGGCAGCACAGGGAGAAACGTGGGCAGGTGAGACACGTGGGCAGGGCAAGAGGCAGAAGGGCGAAGAATGGGCAGCTGCTGTGGCGGTGGAGCCATGAAGAGTGTGTGTGACGGCCATGCTTGTTACATTCTGAGACGAGCTTTTTAATCCCGCCCTCTCAAAGCACGCCCTCCCCGGCCCTCAGATGCCAGTGCTGGACGGATCAGCAGCGGAGTGGGTGGAACACATCATGGCGGCCGGCATCCACCCCGCCACACGGCGTTCCACCCACTCCACCACGGCCGATGCTTCTGGTGCTGCTGTCACTGTGGAGAGGAGAAGCTGGAACCTGCCTGGAAACCGGCCAATCACGGTGCAGCATGGGGATTCCTTCATCGCTGCATTCCCCCGGGCTTCTCCGCTTCTCACCTACGGCATTGACTTTCCACATGTGAGGCGTTGACTTTCCACATGTGAGGCGTTGACTTTCAACATGTGAGGCGTTGACTTCCCACATGTGAGGCGTTGACTTCCCACATGTGAGGTGCTGACTTCCCACATGTGAGGCATTGACTTCCCACATGTGAGGCATTGACTTCCCACATATGAGGCATTGACTTCCCACATGTGAGGCATTGACTTCCCACATGTGAGGCGTTGACTTCCCACATGTGAGGTGCTGACTTCCCACATGTGAGGCATTGACTTCCCACATGTGAGGCGTTGACTTCCCACATATGAGGCATTGACTTCCCACATGTGAGGCATTGACTTCCCACATGTGAGGCGTTGACTTTCCACATGTGAGGCATTGACTTCCCACATGTGAGGCGTTGACTTCCCACATGTGAGGCATTGACTTCCCACATGTGAGGCACTGACTTCCCACATATGAGGCATTGACTTCCCACATGTGAGGCATTGACTTCCCACATGTGAGGCGTTGACTTCCCACATGTGAGGCATTGACTTCCCACATGTGAGGCATTGACTTCCCACATATGAGGCATTGACTTCCCACATATGAGGCAATGACTTCCCACATGTGAGGGGTTTATTCTGGATTGCAGCTCATCGGTTTCCCAGCCTTGCATGCTCCCTGTACTGACTTGTGAGTTCACAGAACTCGCAGATCTTTGATCAAGTCGACCCTCAATTCATCCATACCTGATTCTTACACAGCCAGCCTCCGTTCTTGGACAACCCACCTTGTGGTAATCGAACGCTCTCACTCACTCACGCCTGCATATTTGTTTGCTGTTGACGCATTGATTCGAATTCACTTTTGTCTGTGTTGACCAATTGACTACGGCTGTTGGCACCTTTCACATTAGATGCCATATTCCCGTTGACCTCATTGCCCCGCTCAACCCCTCCCTTGCTCCCACGTGCCGGCCATCGGGCGGCAGTGGGTGGAGCCATCCCGCTCACATGCTCTGCACCCACCACAACCCAAGCAGCACAGCAGCATGGGGGGCATGGATTTAGGGTTTTTTTTTTTTCTATGTTGGCCCAGACCGTCTGTTGACTCTGTTGACCTCCATGCACGCTCCCAGGTCCCTGCGATTGGGCGGCAGTGGGTGTCGTGGGAGCCGTGCCGCTCACAGCAACCAGCGCAACGGGGAGCGGCAGATCAACACCAAGGCGCAGGAGAGGAACCAGGTGGAGCAGCAGCGCGGCCAGTGGGGACAGCAGTGCAGGGGGAGCATGGGGAGCATGGGGAGCATGGGGAGCAGGGTCAGGAGTGTGGTGACTATGTGTCGGGCATTGCGCCTGCGCGCACCTTCTGCATCCTGGAACAGGTACGGCGAGGCTTCGAGAACCATCCATCTCCTTGAAACCATTTATCATCAGCAGCAGTGCATGGTAAGTTGGCAAGACGCTCGAATGTTAGGATCACGCTTTGGGCCTGTTTATAGCGCGTTGGAATTGCATCAGCATGTTGATGATCTTTGTATTGCGGTACAATTAGGACGTTGAGATATACGTAGGAAAAAAAAACTGCAAGTGAAGTGCTGCCATAGAAAGGGGTGGCACATAAAGGGCGGCGTATGAAGGGAAGGGTGGCTCGGAATTGACAGCTTCACCGAATCCCTCTGTTCACCGTCCCCCTGCCCTACGTCAGTTTCCCCCTCGTTCCTCTCCCACCGCAGATGAGAGGAGCAAAACTCACAAGAGCTGTCTCACAGAGCAATGCCCTCTCCTTCGTTTTACTCCTTTCAAACATCGCTGCTTCTCTCCCCACTTGTGCCGCCACTGCACCTCGCTGCCCCCATTGCCCCGCTCTCGCTGCACCTCGCTGCCCCCATGGCTCTCGCTGCACATGGAGCACATGAGATGCCTCACTGAGTGATACCCTCTCGCCCCTCTCCATTCTCTTCAACTCCTGCTGCTCCTCTCGCCCCTCTCGCTGCAGGTGGAGCAGATGCGAGCAGCGGGGCTCATCAAGGGCGGCTCACTCGACAGTGCCCTCGTGTGCAGGTGAGCCTGGGGGAGGTGCCATGCACGTCAGCCGGGGGGAGGTGCCATGCACGTCAGCCGGGGGGAGGTGCCATGCACGTCAGCCGGGGGGAGGTGCCATGCGCGTGTGCCTTCCCCCACATGCCCTTTTCTTCCTTCTCAACTCCTCTTGCCCACCTCCTGGTTGATGGGGCGAACTCAACGTTCGATTCACTCAACCCCCTCGTCTGAGTACCCTATTGAGAAGGCTGTATGTTCTTTCTGCCCCCACTTCTCCCTTTCCCTTTCTTGCCCTACTCTTGCTGCAGCCAAACGCGAGGGTGGGTGAACCCACCATTGAGACTGCCTCTGGAGCCGTGTCGGCACAAGCTGCTGGATCTCATAGGGGACCTGGCGCTCTGTGCCAGGGGGGGCAACGCCGGCATTCCCAACGCGCACATAGTGGCCTATAAAGTGAGTGCTGAGCCTTGGCACCAGTGGTCGTGTCGTGCGTGCCTGTTGAGGTTTGTCTCTCTCTGTGACCTTCAAGCCCCCACCCTCTAAATTGCCTTCATGTCACCTCGCCCCCACAACCCTCCTCCCGCGTCTCTTCCACCCTTCTTGCCTCCCCCGTCTATGAGCAGGCTAGCCATGCCCTGCACGTGGCGTTCGGTAAGGCACTTATGGGTGCGCTGGAGGCAGAGGCAAAGGGGCATGGAGAGGCTGGGTAGCAAGTGGTGCAGCTACGAGTTACAGTGATTTGGTTACCATGCTGCAGTTGCAAATGGAATCAACAACATGCACTACATATGGGAGCAATCCCGGAAAGGGTACCGTATAACCAGGCCAAACTGATACGGTGGAACTAGTGGTAATAAAGTGGACATTGGCACAAATAAACCGTGGTGCAGCTCGCTCATCCGGCAAGATCTGATGGTGACCCCAAACTTAAACACACTATGTAGCAGGACTGGAGAAGTGGGTTTGCACTGCTTTGAAATGCTGCGTCCTCTATTGCTACAGAACAGATGGTTTACCCTAGCTGCCATGTTTCTGGGCGTTGCACCCTACACCGTACACAATAGACCGAGATTGCAGCGTTGAGATGTATGGTACTATGTACAATTGCTCTGATTTTAAGCGTGCTGCACACAACTTGGCACATGCAAAGGTCAACACAACGCCATGACTGAAGCAACAACCGCACTCCCAGCTAAACAAGCACATCAAGGGCTGTGGTCACTCGTCAAGCGAACGACAACTCACATCCATGCATCACATCCATGCATCACATCCATGCATCACATCCATGCATCACATCCATGCATCACATCCATGCATCACATCCATGCGTCACATCCATGCGTCACATCCATGCGACACATCCATGCGTCACCAGCTTAACATGCGCAAGCAGCCTGCTGTAGCTTGGAGGGTGCATACTCGAGTACCACATGCAGCGCGGCAGCGCCCCCTCACCCTTGACCAACATCAGTCCACCCACTGCACACCATCTTGCTTCAGTGCCTACGTGCCCTCCATTGCTTCCTTCTTGATCCCATCGCTGACAAAACTCCCACTTCTTCCTTCACCACCACTCCCCCCTGCCCCTCTTCCCTCTTGACCCCCATAGCCCCATGCTCTGCGTGACCCGCTTGCCTCCTCTGCTCAACTGCGCCACGCCCACCAGCCGCCCTCTCCACGAGTGCACACACCTGCCCCCGCACGTGCAAGCACCTGCCCCCGCACGTGCACGCACCTGCCCCCGCACGTGCAAGCACCTGCCCCCGCACGTGCACGCACCTGCCCCCGCACGTGCAAGCACCTGCCCCCGCACGTGCACGCACCTGCCCCCGCACGTGCACGCACCTGCCCCCGCACGTGCACGCACCTGCCCCCGCACGTCCTGCGCCTTGGCCTTCATGGCGTCCCCATGCGCTGTGATGGCTGCCAGCATCTGCACCCACTGCCACGCACACACGGAGGTCAGGGAAACAAGGATCTCAACTCGAGAATGGGTAAGGGGAAAGGGGAGAACGCAGCGAGGGAGGCATGAAGCGATGCAAGATACAGGGGAGTAGGGAAGAAAGGAGAGGTGTAGGAAAGCGAAGGGTGGAAGGAAGGAAGTAACGGGTAGATAAGAGGAGCACACAATGAGTGAGCAGCAATGTTAGATATGACAGCGTTCGCTTATATGGCACAGCTATGTGATGGCCATTTAAATGTGTACAGCAGTTTAAAGAAATTGGGCGTGATAGTTTTCAATCATGGCCACGACGGGAAAGATGCAGGGCTAACAAAAGTGTTCCTCACGTCCACGACTCCTCCATCGCCTCAGAAACAATGACAAGTGTGGAGAGCACACTACGCACAGGGGTCGCATGCAATATGCAGTACGTACCATATGCCCACCTGCCTTGCATCACAGCACCACCGCACCTGCCTTGCATCACAGCACCACCGCACCTGCCTTGCATCACAGCACCACCGCACCTGTCTTGCATGACAGCACCACCACACCTCCCTCATACCTGGTTGCAGTGCAGCAGAGCATACAAAAAAAATGAACAATAAATGCTTTGCCACCGCACCACCACACCTCTGCCATGCCGGGTTGGGACAGTTCGTACACCACGGTTTCCCTCCACGTCCACCCCGCCTCGTCATGCACCCTCCCATCCAGCTTATCCCTAACCCGCGGCACCACCCTGAGAATTGCCGCCACCCACTCCTCCACACATTCCCGCACCTCCTCCATCGCCCTCTGCACCTCCTCCATCGCCACCCTCACCTCCTCCTCTCGCCCACTCGTCCTCGCTACTGCCTCATCTCCCTCCGCTACTCTCTGCTTCTTCCCCTCCCCCATCGCTCTCTCTGCCTCGCGAAGCCTCTTCTTTTGGGGCTTTCCTACCCCAGCCTCTGCACCGTTCCCCACACCTGATTCACCGCACCCAACCGGTTCCTCACTTGGAATCTCCTCCGCCTTCCCCACCGCCGTCCCTTGCGCGTCCTCCACCTCCCCCTCGCGCGCATCTCTCCCCCTGTGCGTGGATCCGCCCCACTGCCACTCGCGTGCTCCCCCGCACGTTCTCTGCAGCTGCAGCAAGGGCGCGCAAGAACAGTGCCGTGGGGAGTGGGATGGGAAACGGAGGGAAGGAGGGCCACGGGAGGTACTAGGGTGGGTGGGGGTGAAGAACCACGGGGGAGAGACAAGTGGAGAGAGGCAAGAGGGATGGGAGCAATGGGGTATGTCAAACTATAATGATGTTTGTGCTATGTAGGCTGTAGTGGGGTAGCCCATAAGGGGTACAACCCAACTTAGGGTTAGTACTTCTACCCACATTTCTGTTCAATGCATCATTCTCTGCTCGCTATTCTGACATGGTTTCAGAGCAGTAGGTCTGTAGGACCGTTTCTTTCCGGGGCCCACCATTAGCTAGTGACCGACTGCGGTTACCGCGCTACCCCACGCCCTGCCCTGCGTCGCGCTGCCCGCGCACGCCCTGCCCTGCGTCGCGCCGCCCCGCGCATGCTCTGCCCTGCGTCGCGCTGCCCGCGCACGCCCTGCCCTGCCCCGCGTCGCGCTGCCCGCGCACGCCCTGCCCTGCGTCGCGCTGCCCGCGCACGCCCTGCCCTGCGTCGCGCTGCCCGCGCACGCCCTGCCCTGCCCTGCGTCGCGCCGCCCCGCGCACGCCCTGCCCTGCGTCGCGCTGCCCGTGCGCCGCCCGTCTGCAGCCCGGGAGCCGCCCTGCTGGCCGCACGCTGCCCTTTGCGGCCCGCGCGCCGCACTGCCTGCCCGCGCGCCGCACTGCCTGCCCGTGCGCCGCACTCTGCAGCCCGCGCGCCGCCCTGCTGGCCGCGCGCTGCCCCTGCTGCCCGCGCGCCGCCCTCTGCAGCTCACGCGCTGCCCTGCTGGCCGTGCGCCGACCCTACCTGTCAGCGCGCCGCCCTATTCTGGCTGCGCGCCGCCCTTTCCCTGACCGTGCGCCGTTCCGCCCTACTCTACGCGCTACCCTAGTGCCTGCTCGCCGCCCTGCCCTCACTGAGTGCTGCCCTGCTGGTCGCACGCCTCCTTGCTTTGCCCGCTATGACTTCTCTTCGTGGTAGCGGTGGGAGCGGTGGCGGCAGTGGTGGCAGCAGTGGGAGTGGTGGCGGCGGCCGTAGTGGCAGTCGCGGTGGAGCTGTTCCATGGGGAGCTTCTGGCGGTGGCCAAATGCAGTTGCAGCGGCGTCCGCGCGAGACCCTTACGCCCCAGCAGCTCCGTGAGTGGTACGCTAGTAGGTGTGGTGGCGGCGGCCGTAGTGGCGGTCGCGGTGGAGCTGTTCATTGCAGAGTTTCTGGCGGTGGCCAGATGCAGCTGCAGCGGCGTCCGCGCGAGACCCTTACTCCACAGCAGCTCCGTGAGTGGTAGGCCAGTAGGTGTGGTGGCGGCGGCCGTAGTGGCAGTCGCGGTGGAGCTGTTCAGTGCGGAGTTTCTGGCGGTGGCCAGATGCAGCTGCAGCGGCGTCCGCGCGAGACCCTTACGCCCCAGCAGCTTCGTGAGTGGTACGCTCAGCGTGGGGCGTCTCGGAGTACTGCTCGCTGCCCGTACGTCATTCGCACAGGTGATCGGGCTGGTCAGACTTGCGGGACAGTTGGTCACACACAGGCCCACTGCTTCTCCTGTCTGAGCGACGCCTGGCGCGCAGAGTTTGGCGACGAGGCTGAGCTCCCCCGCTGGCTAGAGCTGCTAAGTAACAAGGTGGATATATTTGCTCTAGACTATGACACTATCCTTACTGCCATGTATGCTTTGACTATTGGTACTGAGGGTGACTGTTACCTGTGTGTGCCGCCTGACCCAGGTATAGAGGCTGCTGCTCTGGGTGCTAGTGAGTCTGCTCTCTCCAGTACTGTTCCTGCTGAGGCCTTGCACACCTTCACGCTTGACTCAGGTGCTTCCCGCTGTTTCTTTCGCGACAGTACCACACTCACACCACTCCCTGCACCAGTTGCAGTCAGACTGGCTGACCCCTCAGGGGGCCCTGTCTTTACACGTTCCACCACTGTTCTCCTGTGTTTGGCGGTTCCGTCTGGCTCGCTGTCAAGTCTTCACCTCCCTCGTTCTCTACGAACTTGGTGAGTACCGCTGCCCTCCAGGATGCGATGGTCACTACCACCACTACTGGGGGTCAGCGTGTGGCGATCTGCACGTGTACCCGGACGGGCCGCCACCTGGCCACGTTCACCCGTCGGCCTGGGTCGAGCCTGTACACACTGACTACTGAGCCTCCCCAGGTAGCTGCGTCTAGCCAGGTGTCCGCGTCAGGTCAGGTAGCAGCCCCCTGCTCGTGTCGCCACCTCTCACACCAGACTCTCCTCTGGCACCACCGCCTTGGTCACCCCTCCTTGCCACGCCTCCGTAGCATGCACTCCCGCCTCCTTGTCTCTGGTCTTCCCAGGTCTCTGCCCGCCCTCTCGCGCTCGCCTGCACCGCCCTGCATTCCTTGCGTCGAGGGGCGACAGCGCGCCGCTCCTCACTCCTCCTCGTTTCCCCCGACAGAGGCTCCCCTGCAGACTCTCCACATGGACGTGTGGGGTCCATCCCGCGTCCGTGGACTGGACCGCGAGCGGTATTTTCTGCTGGTTGTCAACGACTACATGTGTTCCACCACGGTCTTCCCCTTGCGTAGCAAGGGGGAGGTCCCTGATATTCTGATCGCTTGGATCCGCGCTGTCTCTCTCCAGCTCCGCGAGCAGTTCCGCACGGACCTTCATGTCCTGCGTCTGCACTCTGACAGAGGTGGTGAGTTTTCCTCCGACCTCTTGCGGGACTTTTGTCGTGGGGAGGGCATCCTCCAGTCGTTCACGCTTCCGGCCTCCCCGCAGCAGAATGGGGTTGCTGAGCGCTGCATTGGCTTAGTCATGGAGGTCGCTCGTACCTCCATGATCTATGTGATAGCTGCTCCCCATTTTCTGTGGCCGTTTGCGGTCCGGTACGCTGCGCATCAGCTCAACCTCTGGCCCCGTGTCTCCTTGCCGGAGACCTCGCCTACACTGCGTTGGACGGGGGAGGTTGGCGATGCGTCAGTGTTCCGGGTCTGGGGCGCTCGTGCCTTTGTCCGCGATACCTCCGCGGACAAGCTCTCCTCCCGCGCCATTCCCTGTGTCTTCCTTGGCTTCCCCCCTGACGCGCCTGGCTGGTAGTTTTACCACCCCACCTCGCGCCGTGTTCTGTCCTCTCAGGACGTCACGTTTGACAAGTCGGTTCCCTTTTATCGTACCGCACTGCCCCTCTCCCCCCCCCTGCCGCTCTTCCTCGCTCCAGGTCCCCCTCCGGTAGACCCCCTCCCCCCTCAGGGTCCTGCTCCTTCAGGTGTGTCTCAGGTAGACCCACTCCCCTTGGTTGAGCCTGTCGAGGTCACTGGTGACTCTAGTGCTGCTCGGAGTGTTGCGCCTGGGGGTGCTGAGCCTGCGGGTGCGGAGCCTGAGCGTGCGGAGCCTGGGGGTGCTGAGCCTGCGGGTGTGGAGCCTGGGGTTGCTTAGCCTTAGCGTGCGGAGCCTGGGGGTGCTGAGCCTGAGTGTGCGGAGCCTGGGGGTGCTGAGCCTGCGGGTGCGGAGCCTGGAGGTGTTGAGTCTGTTAACGGGAGTGGAGTGTTGGCCCCGCCTTGCTTATGGAACGCCGACGACTTGGTCGGATGTACGGGAGTAGCAGCCGACCGTTCACAGTGGGAGAGCTGCTCGACAGGCTTCGTCGAGCTGCAGGGGACCGCTGTGGTGTTGCTGTCGACTAGGGAGCTCGACAGCTGCAACTAACTGGTCTGGGCGACGGGTGGATCGTCGACCAGGAGGGGCAGTTCGACCGGGAGGTCGACGGAGCAGTCCGTCGACCTGCAGCTCGACCGGGGGGTCGCCGGAGCTTCCGGTCGACCTGCAGTTCGACTGGGAGGTTGAGGTAGAGGCCCATCGACCTACAGTTCGACCGGGGAGGTCGACGGAGCAGCCGTCGACCTGACAAGTAAGCAGCGGTCGACGAGGGAATCTCGGCGACAACCGCTGACAGTTCAAGTCGACGGAAGGGGTCCGTCGACCAGGGGGTAGCTCGACGGGAGCTGTGGTCGACCAGAGGCACCTGGTGGTCGACCAGAGGGAGCTGCGGTCGAGCAGAGGCACCTGGTGGTCGACCGGAGGCACTGGTGGTCGACCAGAGCACCTGGTGGTGTCCAGGTCGACCGGGTAACCTGCTCGACGAGTTCTGTGGAGGCACGCGAACGTTGTCGAGGTTGCAATGGCGAAGGCGACTTCGGGCTGGTATCCCGAAGTCGATGTGGCTCGTCAGGCGCAGACAACAGCCGACGGATGCACAGCAATGCAAGTCGGGCCAATCGTCTGCGCGCACCTGCGAGCGTGCGCACTGCTATGTTCTACGGGGCAACGCTGGACAGCCGCTCTGCTGCAGCGTTGGCACGCCGTCGACCTGCTGCGTTGGCAGGTCGCTCTTCTGCAGTGCTGGCGCGGCTCCTCTACGCAACGCTGGCAGGCGGTCGACCAAGCTGTGCTGGCGGTCGACCAGGCTAGCTGCAAGGTTGCAAGGTGCCTGATGTAGTCATTGTTGTCATTGCTTGTTCAATCATTCTGTAATTCCAACTTTGCTAGTGGAAACTCTTGCCGATTTCTCCCGTGAATGTGCAAGTGCCAAGAAACCAAGCAAAGCTACGATCACTCATAGTAGTTCGTGCCAACCCCCGTAGTCTAGCTCACTACCATTGTAGAGTGACTCTCCGCATGGTGCGGTGAGCGTGGACGGCCCCGCAAATTACCTTCAGATAGGAGCCGACTTTTGCACCTACTAAGTCGTTCGTAGGCCGGCAGCAGCGTTAGTCGCCA